GATGTCCGAGGATTAGCCAGTATTTCTATTTAACAAAGAATTTGAAGTAATTGAGAGCCCCTTTTGCCAAACTGTTAACAAAAGAGAAGTTTTCACTTGTTTAAGTCCTGGCCACCAGACAGAGTCGGTGTGGATGCAGAGGAATCACAGCCAATTTCCATCATCCTCTTGGGGTTCTAGAACAGAGTGCGGAAACCAGGAGAATAAGGTACCTGCTATGTGGACTGCTGACAGAGGGTCCAGGCTGTGAGAGACTACATTTGCCCCGTGGCTGTTTGCAATGAACAGGGGGTAAAGAAAGAAGAATGTTCAGTCCAGGCAAATAAAGACAAGCTACTGATGAAACTAAATTAAAAGTGCAGCAAAGGAAACATAAAAAAAAATAAAATCAAGTGAAGTGACCAATACCCATGAACCAAGGAAACTGGCTTTTCTTTGTGCCTAGCTGAGTATGGACATGATTGGAACATACACAGGGAGCTCAAAAATAAATTTAGTTACTACATTTATAAACGGTAGCTCTGGATTAAAAAATAAAACAAAACACAACAAACAACAAAAACCCCACTAGTAATTTAGCTCAAATGATTTTTAATATGAAATAGAAAAAAAATATTGAGTATGGGCAAATATATATATTTCAAAATGCAAATGCAGCAAAAATAATATTCTCAAGGAAAAAAGGTCGAAGGGTCTCTTTTGATGAGTCTGGCCTCTTCTCTACCCCCATTTTCCCCCACAATTTTGAAGGCCAAATAACTGTAGGTGCATTTCTGCACTCACAACTATTTGCTGGTATATTTAATGCAGTTAGATTATTATAATTCTGATTGCATTTTTGTATTAGTATTTATTTATTTAGCACTGGCATATTTGGTACTGAAATTCTAAACAATTTCACTTCAGTCTCCAAAATTGTGGGTGCAGAAACCAGAATTTTGAAAACCAGACCCCAAGAAATCATACAACTTAGCTATGCATTGTGGACAAAAATGAAAAAAGTAATCACGTACATAAACACTAACAAATCAGAGATAGACATTAAAATGTTAAGATGAAACCTATTATAATTCTACATACTCTTTAGACAAAATTTTATGATAAAATACTTCTCCATTTCCTGTAACAGTCGGGTATCATCCAGTTACATCTGTGATATCAGAGCTTTTATTAGTTATTTAAGTTTAAATTTGAAGACAAACACATTGACTTCTTAAATAAAATGTTAAGGTTTATATTCCTTCTCCTTTTGAAAAGCCAGTATTCCTTTACATTCTCGTACTAGCATCTAAAAGGAAACTAGTGAATGTAAAAAAAAATAAATCAATTACAAAAGCCATAAAATTTATCAAGACAGAACTCAGAAGCTTTAGAAAAAGTGCAAATGGAATAAAAAACAAACAAAACCAACCAACAGACCCAACCTGATTGCTTTAAGAACTAAGAAAAAAAGCAAAGTAATCAACCAACAGAATTGCAGAAAAAGATAAAATAATTGCAGTTCCATTTTGGGCTCAGAGTATGGAAGTGTTAAGAAGGAGGCATGTGTTGCTATATTTCTTGAATTTTGTGCCAGCGATGCAAATAGATGACTCCAAAGTTGCCATCATAGCTACTGATTAGGCCCTATGCAACTAGCTGTTTCGAGTAATGTTTTAAGCCCTTCAGCTCTACTCAGCCATTCATCCAAAGTCTCAATAAGACCATTTGCAACCTTCATCAGAAATGACCAAAAAACCCCCTTATTGAGATTCTTGATGAAGCAGCTCTGAGGAGAAGCCCAAACAGAAATGGAGTACTGATTGTATCAGACAAGACCAGACTTTGGGGTGCTGCCATCACTAGAGCAAAATACAAGAGACACGGCATGCCATACTATGTTAAACCAACCACACTGACAGCCCTGGTTTTAGACAGTATTTACCACTTCTTATTTCATGCAGGATGGGATATGCAGCAGGGCTGGGGACAGCAGCTGTGTTTTGTTCTTGATTTATGCCATTTCCTTTCCTACCAAGTGAGAAGGGGGGCCTTCCAGCTGGCTAGAGCTACTGTAGACATCTAGAGCTCCCACCCAGGAGGTGGCCAAAAATATATAACATGAAATTACCGTTCTCTGTCTGCTTGGAGTGCTTCTTCCAGATACAGGACTCACTGAGCCTGATGTGTCTAATTCATCAGCAGAGGACCACGAGGACAATTCCTAAAGTTCAGAAGGAATGGAGCTCAGAAATACAGCAACTAGGAGTTCAGGTAAGCAAACTAAAAAAAGCCCTGAGTGAATTCCCAGTAAAGTTATTTCCAAAGCAAATAAAATAAAGCAGTTAAATTTTGTTACCAAATTTTATAAGACTAAGGCATTACATGTTTTCTCTGTTAACCCTGAGGAAAAAGAAAAGCAAACGGGTAGTTAAACTGAATTGCTTTAAGTGACACATTTTTCACCAAAGTCAACACAGAGGAAAAAACACTTTATTGGCCTTTAATTACAAGAAGAGGCTGGTACCACCAAGATTTTACTTAAACGGGCAGAAATTCACTAGAAAGAGGGAAGAAGTGAGTTTTCATGCCTTAGTTAGTAACCTAACCTTAGTTAGGTTAGTAACCTAACCTTAGTTAGGTTAGTAACCCTAACTATTCTATGATTGAATGTTCTTTGCTAATCCAAGACGTTTAAAACAGTTAAATAAAGAACCACCTTGAAAACTTTACTTTATACCTGCCACTGCAGTCAAAGATGTATGCATAATTCCCTCTCAAATACCCTGACACATGTAATAATTTGAAGAGACTTGGAGTATAGCTCAGAGCTCAGAAGGCATTATAAGATTCATTACCCTATTACCTTATTTATTTTATGTCCTTTTTTTTTGACTGAGTGAGCATTATCTTCCTTGCCAGTGACAACTGACATGCTATAATTTTCAGTATTGCAAGTAGAATAATTATTTCATATACTTTGTCAGTTGACTGAATCAGTAATGGCAGGGTAAACAAACCAAGATGTTCAATACTTAGTGCTACACCAAATAGCAAAAAATTACTGGATTAAATAAACTATCACAAAAGATATGTTTACATTATGTAGTGTAAGATTACTTTATGATATCCAAGATAACATTTGTCCATCTTGATAAGTATTGCAAACAGAAAGAGCGCAGCCAACAGCACTGCACAGAGAAAGACAGTCAAAATAGCAGGAAATGTGTGCCTAACACAGCAAGGAATAAAAAGTTGTGACTTACCAGCTGACTACTTGAAATGTCTAGAATTTTCTCTAGGTCTTTAATATGACGTGTGACGTCCTTCAAGAGAAGCTTCAGTCTGTTTCCAATGACATGCACCTTTTCTTTGGCTTCAAGACAGTCCTCGCCTTCGGCATTGACTAGCAATTGGCAGGACATATCTTGCAATGATGCCACCTTCAACTGAGACTCCAGCAGTTCACGTCTGATTTGCTGTTGCCAAGGCAAGTACCGGATATTTTTAATGAAAGTTGGTTTACGTTTCGTTTTCATTTGGTTGTTTGGGGGGTGGGGGTGGGGAGGAGAGGGGGCATGGGTTTTTTTTTTGTTTTTTTTTTGTTTTTGTTTTGTTTTTAAAAAAAGGAAAGGAAAAACTTCCTAATCTTCAGGGAGATAGACAGATGGACGGCAGCCTAGTTGTTGCCTGAGATTTTAAATCACAAGTTATGCTATTAATGGAAGTGACAGTGTCCCCTACCAAAGTAGCTACTGGCATTGGTCCCACAGGTATGTGTTAGCATGCAATGTACAATGCTAACCCTCAAATGAAAGGTACATCTGATTAGGTGTTTTTCTGATGATGTGTTTTGGGAGAGAAAGAGGTGATTATAGCCCTACCAGTAAAAGTCTGTGATGATCCTGCAGCGTATCTGAGTCCAGGTTCGGATTGATGGGCACAATCTCATTTTTTCTTCTGTCAATATTCTCTAACCAAAGCAGCAAACCATGGCTCATTTCATGGAAATCCTGCAAGTGATTAGTGATGATTTTAACAATGTAGTAGAAAATACCAGTCAAATTCAGGTTTTTAATTCATCCTACTGTAGGTCCGACTGGCTAAATAACATCACTTACAAGGAATATATTAGAATACTATTCCACAGATGTAAAATTTAGTAAATCTTGTGCCGGAAATACATGCTTCAGATAGTGCAGGTGTACCTTACAGATAACACATGCCAAAGCTGTATTTTGGCCTGCATGGGCAAGTTTCAGACTAGACAACGAGCACACCAGATAGATAACAATATGGTTTATATTTTTTATATGCAGGATGCTGACAATTTAAAATAAGGGCAATACAGACCTGGCACTGCATTAATGCAGCCTGCAATGAGCAGCGCCACTCTTCGATCATACAGCACACATGGTCCCAACGCACATTCATCTGAGACAGGCGCTCTTGAAGCTTCTTGCTCTCTTCGCTGTCAGACTGAGTGAACTCTGAGCTACATAGATTGATGGATAAGATGATTGCTTTGCGATTATCAATTGCTTTTTGCAGGTCCTTCATAAGACAAAATGGGACAGGGGAAGAAAGGGTGAATATCAGTAAAATATGACTTTCAGAAGAACCAAGTAGAGAAGGCACCACAAGAACACAATGATTTATCGTCAGCAACTGCAGAATGGTACCTCACTCTAACAGTCTCTTTACTCTGGACATGAGATTTCTGTGCTCACTCTGTGACATTGCAAATGTTCACTCTCTAATATCTACTAAAATTTCACTGTGAGCATAAACTAGAACAAGCCAATTAAAACAGTAAGTCTTAAAAGTCTGAAGTCATAGTTCAATTTCAAAGATCTGGCTCATGTTTCAGATATTTTAAAGACAGAGTAGGCATAACAAAATTTACAGAGATGTAGGACAACTGTACGTTAGCTCACAGTAAAACTTTTGCCCTCACTTCTCAGTTTTGCTGATAAACATAAAACCCAACATGTTTTCAAATGGAAACTGCTGTCAACAGTATTTTAAAATAAAGGCTTTTTTCTGAGAGAAAACATACAAAGAGTATAAACAACTTACTCAAATTTATAGAAGCAAGACAAGTATAAAACCTCTGATTTGTTTATACTGGAAGCCACAAAAGAAACTCCACCTCTTTTGGTTTGGAGGGCACTAATGGGCTTTCCAAGAGTGGGTGAGATAAGAACAGGATTCTTATGAAATGCCCCTTTTTCCACCTATTTTGTAGCATTTACTTAAAAGCCTTATGTCACAATGACCTTTGTAGTACTTATGGCAGCTAAATTTGGATTACAGTGAAGATCAGCATTAATATGCTTTTGATGCATTGCTGCCGGAAACAGTCTCTACTATCTGTCCACCTCATTCCTAGCATGCAGCACACTGCATTTTGACAAAGGCTCCCACATTTTTGTGCCCAAGCTTATAAGACGGTAGTAATTGTGCAGTTGTGGACCACCACATCTGCAGATCTTCATAGCTATAAAATATACAGGAGAGATCACAATGGCAGCATTCAGATCCTGATGCATCTGAGATGACAGAAGAAGAAACAGGACTGTTGAAAAGTGACACCAATTTTTTCCTATGTTATACCGGTGACACCAGTGCGCAGCCTACAACCCCTTTGGGCACTCTCTCTTTCTTCTACACAAAGTAACATGTAGAGTGAGGTGTTTCTTTTAAAGTAGCTATTTTGTTACCAGTTTGACTACAAGAGATTTGATTTAACTCCAAAAAGCGATTCATACAATCGCTTTACCAGTTACTTCCGTTATCAGCAGTAGCCCACTGCATGCAGAATGGAACACGCCAACTGCAACTACTGGCAACCTCTTCAACATACCCATTGGACTCAGATCTGTCTACAAGATAACTCATGGAAAAGAGAAATAAAACCCACTTTCAGTTTTTTAATTCTGAGCTCAATAGTTTGTATGTCAGTGCTGAGATCAAGGTGGCGGAGCTTCTCCAGTTCCTCTTCAGTTTCTCCCAACCAAGCCCAAATGCTATTAAGGTCAGAGTTAAATTGCTGCCATTGCTGAAGGTTCTGCTTCATCCTCAGTTCCTTGCTTAGAGCTTGAGCCTGGATTAATTCCCATCGTTCAATTACACCTGGAATGATAAACACCAAACTCAACAAAAGCAAAAGAAAAAAAAAACCCTCTAGTCACACACAGAGTTGCATCAGTTGAATCCTGTGCAGGACAAAAAAGTGTTCCGTAAAACCCTGGAAACCCTAACACATGAAACACCACACTGAAAACTAAGATTGAAGAACATGATGTTGGAGAGAAAGAACGGAGAATCTGGAGGATTCCAGGCAGCAGGCAGTTTTACCACTTTCTAATGTTAGACTTCTATGAACAGAATTAAGTTGATACATGCAAGTCTCTAAAACAGATTATGCTGGTATAAAGACATCATAAATTAGCATGAAATCAAACCAGACAAGGAATCTGAATATGTCTAACTTATTATTTTTATTGGCATTTATACCTATCACAGTTTATTACTCATACCTCACTATGTTTGCCTAAGTTACTGTCGATGCATTGGATAAATACCTGTGCTATAAAGAAATAAATTTCTTCTGTTTAGTTATCTTGAAATGCTATGGCAGAAGGACAAGTTGTATCATTCTATCAACTTAAAATTAAATAAAAACCACAAATAAACATCAAAATAAAATAGACTGCATGGGTAGCATATCTTGCCAAGCTAAGAATGGAGACATTGCCTTTAGAGTCTCTGGAACACATCCATGTTTTTACAGTGCAATACCTCCTCTTCTACAGCTGATGCTTAAAATTAGGCAAATGAATACTTCTACCAGGTGAATATAGATTTCTGTACTGTAGACAGAAAATATTAGAAATGAAAGCTAATATTAGAAGAAATGAATGCGTACTTACATGTTTTTTATAGCAATATAAACAAGCGTTTTTATCAGAAAACATTCAACAAAAACACATAACATCCACAGATATTCTCCAAAAGGTTTAGGGTTACATCTTGTGATAAGAAGGGGTTCTTAAAATGCACTTGTATGCCTAATCTCGTTATAGAATGTATACAAGGAATACTTGCTATTCCTATTAAGACATGTAAAACAGAACATAGTAACAGACAGAGTCACGTAAATATACATATATATACATACAAATAATAGGTCAGTCAATAATACCAAGTGTGTATTCAGAAAACCTTCGCATGTTTGCTACCTTTCATAACTGCTTTGTATCAAAGAACTAAATATTACTTACCAGCTGTTTGTGTTTCAGTACTGTTCAGGTTAATAAGTCCAGAAAATTTTTCTTCTTCTTCCTTCAATTTATATCCAAGCCTTTTTACTGAATCTATGCTTCCACTGCACTCACCTAGTAGCTTCATCTGTGTTAACAAACAAAAAACCTGTTTCAATATACAGGACTATCTGCATGGAAATTTCAAATTACAGTTCAAATTCCAAAATTTTCCAAAAGTTGCCCCAAGTGTGAAGATAAAAATCTATTACTCTAACAATTTATCCTGATACTATCAAAGAAATGCATATGAAGACAGTAAAGACTTAAAGCATAAGTTCAGACTAAAGAGAAAAACTCAGTGCCACTGTGAGTAATTGTGCTGTATGACTTTAGGAGTTAAGACACTATGGCAGAGACGCTAGAAGATGTGATAAAGAAAATAAACATACGTGTGGAAATGCTATGCATCCAATCAGCTAATCTTTCATTTCCATCAGTAATAAAATTTGAATTATTTAAAGAGATTTTTCTTCCAGAAAAACCTCTCTGAGAAAGCTTTTTAATCACAGATTCCATATATGCAACCTTGCTGACATGATGCTTGTTTATAATTCATCAGCAAGATGAATAATACTCTGCATGAAGCTCTAAAAAAGCAGAGGAATTTTAAATGAGGATATCATCATTAGATGGGTAAAAACACATGTGAGAAAGTACTTTTGGACATCCACAAAAATGCAATAGGAAAATAAATTCCTGAGAGTCATGTTCCTGTAATCTTACGCTATTATAAACACACTAATAACACAAACAACAATAGCATGTGGTTAAGGGTGGAAGCCCTATGAGTAAGCCTGGGAAGCAGTAATGTCCAATTGCTCTGTTCTAACAGCTATATCTCTTTCAATAGCAAATCTAAGCCTGCAGTGCTTATTCAACTTGTGCTCCAAAATACACGCACATATCCTTTGTAACTGGAATCCAGCTCTGGTCCTGTAGGTGTTTTGCTGCGGATGATGTTTTCTGTTTGTTGTATTTGGAAACGACTGGTGTCTAAGGCCTTGTCCAGCTGTCGGATATGTGCTTCCAGGGCACCAGGTTCTCCTGTACCAAAACCAAAAAAAGTGTCTGTCACTTGAGTTTTCCCAAAGGTTTTATTATCTTTTGCCAAGAATATCAGGAATACTATCTATGTTAGACAGGAAAGAAGAAATGTGATTACAGCAGTATGAGTGGCACAATGTCAAAGCGAACTGATAACTAGTTACACGAGAGGGTGTTAGTGACCTTCAGAGGACAGATGACTATACCAATGAACACAATTGCCATAAGCATACTACCAAAGAGTTCACAGTTTAAAACAGGCTTGCAAACTATTCTGAAGTGCCCTTTTCCCTCAGAGAACTCCTCACCTCTCTGAAGAAGAAAGTTAGTGGCAAAGTGTGAGAGGCAACCATATTAAGCAGAAGAATTCATAGTACTTTTTCCAATTAGGCTTTTGACAAAATTATGCTTAACACATCTGCAGGATGGTATTATTCATCCAAGCCGTTTGAAATGCATACCAATGTTTTAGAAGCAGGACTAGCTTGTATTTTCCTTACAGAGGTCAGTTGAATTCTGCGATGTGAATTAGCTATAGCCAGTTCTAACCTGAAGAAGACTGCAGCCTAGAGGACCACATGAGATCCCTCTTATCCATATTCACTGTGCCTGATTTCCATCTGTTTACAAAGGCAGTTTGAATGTATTCATAAAGCCGCAGTTAAAAACACGCGTAGACAAGGAGAGCCTTCTGTCCACTGAATTACAGAAAATGAAGTCTCTTGAATGGTTGATCTTTCTTAACACTGCCTCTTCTCAAATGGACAGAACAAAGTGCTCAGTATTGCTTTTCCCTCACTACTTTCAAAATCTTCTGGTCAGAAAACTACACGTTTTCCTGTATGTACTGCTCTTAATCAATCATAATATTATTTCACTAATTTGGGAAAAAAATAAAAATGGACAATGAATCCGAGGCCCGTGCCACAGATGCTGAGAAGTTAAACGTTTGCTATTTCAAATTTGCAATGGAATCATTATTTCAAAACATGAAAACTGAAATAATGAGAGAAGGTGCTGTAATTGCATGTAGTCCCTCTGAGAGTCATCTAACAAAGGAAACAGTAGGTTTAATGATGTGTAAAAATGCAATGTGAGGAAAGCATTCATCTTCCAATATAAAAGACTAAGATAAAGACATCGGCCTACAGTACCTCACCCTGGTATTTTTATACATGGAACAACCTAAAAGTTTATGTCTAAGTAATATTTCAAGCTGTGGCTGTGTTAAGAAGTTAAGTGCAAAATCGAACAATTAGGTTTTACTCTACATCTTTTCTTTCTGCCTTAATCTTTGTGGAAACCACTCTTCTCTCAGAGACATGAAAAGAATTCAGTCCTTTTGAGGGACTCCAGAGAATTAAGACCAAAGTAACCTACTTATCAGTTTAGTCTAGTTAGCCAAGGTGGGAGGGCCAATACTTCAAACTTCATTTTTCATCCATGCACCTAATACCTTTAAGCGCAGTATTAAAGCAGGATAATTCTATGTTAACATGCCAGTGCTGCAATGTAAGATATACTTGTCTTGTAAGTTGTGAAAAGTATAGCAGATGCTAAGAGAAGAGAAAGAAGCTATGCTTGTGCACTGTGGTATTTGCATCTGGCTATGCTTAGTCTTTTTCGATGCCTACCAGAGATATTTTTGAGTGCGTTTTCTGTGAGTGTTACATAGGCCTCAAGAGTTTCAGGGATCTCTACATCTGAAAAAATAAAAGCACAGTCTAAATTGACAGCTCAGCAACAGCTGTCTCTTTACATCGGGAGTCCTTTTAATGGGATGGAATAGAAAAACAGTTCCAACAGCAAACATCCTTTCTGGAGAAGGAAAAAAAGATGAAAACTGAAACACAGGGAGCTGCTACAAAGTCTTTTAATATCCAGGCAAACCTGACTCTTTTCAGAGCAATGACCTGGAAAGCAAAAGACAGCCACAAGAACGAAATATAATATATCTGTATGTCTTCCCAAGCAACTGGATGCATTTGGGCACTTTCACTCACTAAGATTTATTACACAGGCACACACACTTAGAAAGGATTTCTAATTTCACTGGAGAGCAAGACACAAGATCCCACCCCAGGCTAAACAGTCAGTTGTTGGGAGTTTTTCCTGGCTAAGGACTGCGTTAAGATTTACTTAAGCACTTGATGATTTTGTCTGCAGATCTCTCCCGCAGCATTTCTTCATCAGTCTGTACTTCTTGCCATATCCAGTATAGTTTCTTCTAGTCAGAATAACTTAGGATGCATTGCTATTACAGATGACATATCCCATCTGGCCGTCCACAAGCACAGAGACATAGCCAATTCCCTGTCATATCTTATGTGCCTTTGCGATTTTCCAAGGCTGAAGGCTGTAGTCATCCAGGATTCTCCACTGCTGCGTCTAAGGCCAGAAGGCCACTGGGATCACTTAGGGAAAGCTATTTAAAATCTTCAGGGGCTATTTAAAATACTTTTCCATGAGCATCTTGGCCAACCAATCACATATGTACACATTTGCTAATGGTTGGACTTGATGATCTTAAAGGTCTTTTCCAACCTAAACAATTCTATGATTTGCTTCTTTTTACTAGGAGAGAAGAGGACACACAATTTGCCACCAATACCTGTTACACCAGCTGCTCCTCTCAGGTAGAAGTCCTTCTCTTGCCCACCGTCTTCTTCCTCAGAGTGCAGTGTCCGTGAAATGGCTGTCTCTAGGTCTCTGCTAAGGTCGTAGTCATGATCCCATTCCAGGGGAATGGAGTCCACGCTTGCAGGTGTATCTCGCCCTGATCTCTCACTTCTCACTGGCTGGGAAAGAGGCAGCGACAGGTTGGAAGAAGGGTGTGGGGACAGAACGCTGTCTGCAGATTTGTCATGCCAGTGTATGTCAGAGAGATCTGCTGATTCATCCAGATCCACCTCTCTGTCAGAGATGTCGTGTTCGTCATCTGTCAGCTAGAAGCATAATGCAAATAGAACCAGTCAATGAAATGTGCAGAGGCACTGCGTGGTCAGCCTGGGTTAGTGAAATAAAGTAGCATTAGGCAACAGTCACATTGATGGGGTCTCCATTTTGCATTCTTTTGCACTTACCCTTCATTATTTTAACATGTACTACAAAGCAACAAAAAAGTTCATAATGCCAGCTCATTTTAATTACTTAAGGCACCACAAAGTCTCACATCAAGCATATGTCTCCAGACTTTTTACTGATGCCACTGTGATGCAGACATCAAGTTAAAGAAAACTCTGGAATCAAGTCATAGGAAGCATAAGTGACCTTTACTGTGACCACTGCTCTCGTTATATTCTTTTATATTTTGAAAACCTTGGGGTTTGTTCCTTTCCTTCAGTAGGACTTGAGCTACCAAAAATCATTTTGCTCTTACTTATTCAGATGTATGTTCAGTTCTAGAGAAAAAATTCTGTCTCTTCTGATGGAGAGAATCATTTTATCACTGCTTTTTAAACAAAACAGAACTCAGTAAGCTGCCAGTGAAACTATCTGACAGAGCAGGGAGTGTTAGTATCTGCACCACACTGCTATCCCCATTAATAAAGTTTTATAAATCTCCAATTTGCATGGATTTTCATGACGATTCACAATAATTCCAGATCTGGGTAAGTTTGCTCTCTGAACAGGACACAAGCAGCATGTAATGAAAGGAGCCAGATGGTCAGGGTTGTAACAAAATTAAACCACAGGATTTTTGGAAAGTTACAGAAGTTTCATGTTAGTTCATTTCAACATCTTTCTCTCTCCTTATTCTCACACTTGTAAAATGGCAACAAACCAAAGAAATACGTATGTATGTAAGTATACACACAGGAAGCCGGATAAGTTTCTTGTGATAGCGTTCCACACGTCCAAAGACCTCTTGACAGTAACGGCGCAGTTCATCCAGTTCTTCTTCAATGACAGCTGCATCCATGGGCTCAGTTTTCTCAATAAGTTGCTCACCCTGCACAATTATCTGATCAATTTTGTTGTTGTTCAGTGAAATTTCTTGCTGGAAAGCCTGCATAAGAGAAAAGCTTGTGCTTTATCAATGAAATCAATATTACAACAACCTAAGTTATTAAGGATGCAAGTCTTGGAGTTTTTCGGCAAGAATGGTGTGGGTAACAAACAGGGATTGTTCCAAATATTCTGGCATAAGCAACAACAAGCAATTAAATTTAGCATTCCACAATCTTTCCAGCCAAAAACAGTGGTACTTCATGGTTTACCATCTCATTCCTCACTTGTTGTATTTGGAAAGAAAGTTCTTCCCTAAACAAGCCATGTCCATGACAAATGTCTAGAATGAACACAGATGCTAAAGCTGACACACTGAAATTTTGGATAACATGACATTTAATGTTTTTCTCTCTAGATAATGATTTTTTGATGCAGAAATGGTTGGAAAATGTAGTCATTCTTAGGTGTCAGCAATAATGGAGACTTCACACTAACAACTTTTATTGACACTTCCTTTTATGATTAGGGAATGGAGACTATCACCCTTTCTTTTTTGAAAATTTTTCACAGCATAAAGAGCTTCCATTCTGGCAGAAAAGTACATACTGAAACCTGACATAGCCCATAACTTCTGAGGCTGAAATATCAGCCTGCAAGGAAGAACTGTATCAGGCTGCATTTTTGCATAATGTTTCTTAAATTCTTTTCCCACCATGAATGTTTTTAGCCATTCGCTCATCCCTTCTCCCGTTACAATTCAGTCATTCTTTACCTTAAGTTGCTTTATCTTTGCTTGGACATCACACTCTGAGAAATGCTCAATGTTGGTCAGCTGCAGGTCCATCTCTGTTAGCCATACCAGGATGCTATCACGTGCGGTCTCGAACTCCTCACGCTGGCCAATAAAATGCTGGGGAGTGGAAAATGGAGCGGCATGAAATGACCAAACAATCCCCAAAAAAAACAGCAGTAGTGGTTCTCCAAAGAAACAGATTTCATACAGTTTTCATACCCTTCAAAACTAACCTCAACTTAGTACGCCTTCTTTCATTTCCTATATGCTTTCTGAGGTTCCCTGTTCAGTAACATCACCTACAGCCCACCTATGGAAGTTATTGTCTAGGAAAGAGGTGGTGTTTGAGGTCAGCAAGAGGTTTAAAAACCTCAGACAAAGTAAACTGATAAGCTCCTTTCCTCATCCAAAGGAAGAAATCCCCTTGAAACCACTGTGCAAATGCATTAAATTGGAAGCTTCTGGAATACCCTTGACTCATAAGTATAATAGTGAAACTGAAGGGCTCAAAAATGGAAAAATACTTTTAGCCTGCGCAGGATGGAGGTAACTCGCTTTTGTAAGTTGTCCCATCTCTGGTTCCCTTCATGAACCATTTGCTTGAGGCTGCAGTCAGAGTCAGTGCGGTTCTCTCGGGCCAGGCGACGATATTGTTTATTGATTAGTTCCAGCTGAGTCAGACTTTCATGCACTTGTCTCTGGAATGCCTAAAGCAATATGAAAAAAAGACACCATCAGATTTTTAATCATTGAAATCAGGATATATATACGTAAGTCCCTCTATTTTGACCCTATTTCTACACTCTGACCTGTATTAACCAACAGATTTTCCTACAAATACAGATATTGTTGAGGACTATCCTACCAAGAAGCTGCCTTCTGATTAAAATCGGGGGTGGGGGGAGAGAGGAGGAGGAGGGGAAAGTTTAAAAACCAGACATCATTCACTGAATGAGAAATTGCAACATGAATACCCATTACAATAGCAAAATCAACACAAACTCTAGCCCTTCTCCAGCCTCCTCTTTCTACTCAATCATATGCCTTTGTATTTGAGAACAGAAACACAAACAATGAATATGAAACATTAAAAAAAAACGATCTGGAATCCAAGATTCCTGTGGCTTCACTGGATTGCTGAAGTGCAAATGTTGAAGAGATTTAAGCAGTTGTTTACTCTGAGTTTTACAAAAAACAGTGAAAAATGGTACTGAAGAAATAATCTCTATCTTCAGTATACTGGTATATGAGTAAGATTTGTCTTAAAATTTTCATGGGAAGAAAATTTCATGAACATCCATACCAACTTATGCCTGGGCAATGTCTGCACCATGTACATTCAGTGCTTCCTCTACTGTTACAAAAGCCTTGGTCACCCAGCTGGGGAGCAGAAACAGTAGGTGACTTAGCATATGAGTTTCATGTTGTGACTAACAATCACGAAGCAAATTGGAGAAAGCACATTGTAAGGAGCTGATTGAATTAATCTTTTCAAAAATAATAATAATAAAAAGATGAATAGTTTAGAAAAAAACTACTCATTCTTATGTTGCCACAGAAAAGCAATAAATCTAAGGAAGACTTAAAAGCATAGACTACTCTTTTGAATACAAGTAGGTTTTGTCTCCCACTGTAGTTCTACAAACTTGCTCTCTGATATTCCTCACTATGCAAATAAAAGCATTCTCTCCCAAAACTAGATGGCAGCCTTACTAAGGACTGGAGCAGTGAAACAGGTAATATGCTTCCGTACAGAAATTTTAATTCAAATCAGCCAACACATAAGATTTCTCCATAAACAATATATACTCTTCATATTGTACCAGTCAAAGCTAAATATGAAATAAGGACATTTCTGCTTTAATACCAGAGACAAAAATAAAGAAGCTGGTTTGAAAAAAAGTTTAAAACATCTAAGTTTGTAGAGTCCTCTCAATATAACTATTGCCTTTATTAAATGGCCATCGAATTGGGTAGGGGACAACCAACAAGGACTCCAATGGACGTGCAATTGGAGGTTTTGCTCAATAGAACAGAATTCACTTAAAATTGCACAAGGAGGCAATTCTCATACCAGAGACACAAATACAACTATGTTTACTAGGATCTGAAATCTTAACGTGTGCAGTTGTTGTTTCACCTGTTACGAAGCCTCATCCAGCAAAAGAACAGCTGTGTATTTGTCTTCCAGTTTTTCAGCTCAGCTACATAAGAAATCATCTGTTGTGTTCCTTCCTGTAACCTGTTTTCGTTTCTCCATAAACTACTGGAGAGCTGGAGAGGAAAAAGTTTGATTTTGTACAGTGAAGCCAGTGAGAGCCATTTCTGACGTCTGTGCTCAGGAACTGAAATGATCTTACATGGTCTTTTCTTTACTTTTTTTAAATTTTTTTTCTTTTAGTTTTACTGCAGTTATGTAGGGGAAAATAAAATTAGAAAAAATTGCCTAGTTGAAGCAGAAACCTGCTTCAGTTTTATATATGTGGCTGACTTTATATTGACTTCACAGTGAAGTTGCTGAATTCCACTGAATCTGAACACCACAACTTTTGTTGCTGGCATTCCATGCTTTTTGGTAGGTGTAGAAAATAGGTGCTCAGATTAAAAAAAGTAAAAAGAGAAGGAACCAAACTGCATGGAAAGCAGGCTTCTGGAATGGCTGCTAAGCTGTTCTCTTACAGCTAGTTCCTGCTTACACTCTGTAGACAGTAAAAATTCCACAAGTCTGCAGGAGAGGGAATATGACCGTAAATGCTGAAGCTCAATGAAACAGAGTTGGGGTAAAGTCACATCAATAAAAATCAGACAGCAAAGACATGTTTGGTACTGTTTCTCATACAGAGATTCACTAAACAGACTTAGATCCTGACCACTGAATAAAGGGATAATGGGAAGGAGGTCTGAAGTAGAGTACTTGTGTCTGGGAAGCAAACATTTTTATACTATGGCAACCTACCTCACCATAATGAAGTCTGGCAGTGTTTAACAACAAAACCTGACCAGTACATTCAGAAATGTGTCAATTATAAAACCTGAATCAGCACTTCACAGTTTATGGTTTTGAATTAATTATTAAACTGAAAAGTATTACCTGATCTCAGACATTGTTTAAAATTTGCATTTCTTCTGCACAGCAAATACTTCACAGCACCTGTTTACAGAATTGCCTTAACAATTTGTTCTCTTTCCTCAAAACTATTTTCCTCTCTCATCTTGATATGCTCCTTGCAAATATGAAACTGAGCAAATTATTTTTATTTTCACCTGTGACTAGCTGTATGTCATGTGTGTCTGCTTTACACACAGGTATATGCTGTAACTACACATTGTAATTATGAGACAAGCCATCACATTGTAATAGACACAGTGAGGTTATGTAACAAACTCTCGAGCATTGAGTGAAGTGACAGCTCGTCAGTTTTGAAGAATGCACTTAATTTTTAAGTCACAGGGGACACCATGTGGACACATAACAATACTTGCATGAACTTAAATTTTGGGTATAAGGATCTAAAATGGGGATATTGTACAAAAAGAGTTCAGAGGGCTGGTTTCAGAGAATTCCAGAAAGAAGAGGAGGTTTAAAATCAAAGCATAAGCTAAAACGTGTAGCATGCATTTGAAGAGGTACTTGGTAAAGGGAGATTTATGAAGGCTCTGGAGCACCTACTGACTGGACATATTTAGAAGTTGCAGAAATAAAAGAGGTGAGAAATCTAACTTTAGTGAACAAACAACAACTAAGAGTGGATTATTAGCATTTTCAGTTGCCACCTTCCACTGTTTTTTCATCGTAGGAACCTGCCACTGAAGGTAGCTACAAAATCACCAACTGAACTATATTAATACAGTGTCTCTGTTTAGTGACTTGTGGATGGGAAGGAAGAACACCAGCTGGCTGCTGCAATGTGATCAGTAGATATTAAATTTCGACTATTATAAATCACCTCAAATTTCTTGAGTTCTTCCTTAGCAACCGTGTAAAGCACACCAGAGGAGCTTGGGAAAGCAGCTGTCCTCTCAGAGATTTTTAGCCAGTCTTCAAATCTAGAGTAATCATCCAAAAACTTTTGCCATAGCCGCCATGTCTCTTCAATTCTGCAATAGATAATGGAAAATTAGGGAACGCTCGGACTGAAGGGCAGCTGACCTACAAAACTTTAACATCTACAACAGCAAACTAGCACTGCACCAGACAATAGTGGGCTCTTGATCTTACTCAGCCAGCCAGGCTGATAAACAGACCACAGGGAAGGCTGGCTCATTCCAGGCCAAGCTAGATTAAGATGATGGTGCTTTCTTAAAATGCATCTAATTTTGGAATCAGTATAAAAAGAAAGTTATAAGTATGTAATAGGAGCTCTAAAAATCTGAGCACATGCTAAATAACTGCTGAAATACAGTCCCAGTGTAGGTACCTATTTAGTATTTTAGAGATTAGAAATTCTACACTACTTTCAACTGCAGAACTTTTTCTTACAGCATATATTTTAAAGTTGTCAGTCATTCTGCATTGTAAAGAGACACATTTTTTTGCATTTGCCAACAATAATAAAAAGCTCTCTCTCAATATGTACTGTAAACATATTTTTATTCAAAAATAAGAAGTTAAAAGTTATTCCAACATTTTAAAAGCCCAATTTTACTGCAGTTGAATATGTAATAATAGTGGCTGACTCTTGATTCTGAAATCAAAGTAGCTTAATACTGAGACTGTAAAATCCTGAGAACTTCAACACCACTTGATTCAAAAGAACAAGATCTTTTTCAAAACAGGTTGTATTGCAGCAGAACTTTGTCTCTCCTGACATACACAATACGTCTTTCCCAAATCTCCCTTTCTCCATCCCTGGCAGTGTTCAAGGCCATGTTGGATGGAGTCTTGGGTGACGTGGTTTAGTATGTGGTTTCCCTGTCCATGGCAGGGGGGTTGGAACTAGATTATGTTAAGGTCCTTTCCAATGCTAACTATTCTATGATTCTATGAAATCCTAGATATACAGGTCTGAAAAGGACCTGATGTATGCAAAATTTATGCTTTGTTGATAACAGTTTTTTTAATCTGAAGCTTGACATAAAGATCCTAAATACTGACAGCTCAGTTAACTTACTGGTACAAATCTACTAATAGCATAAATGTGTACATCGCAAAAAAGTAAAACAGAGTTCAATGTAAAGTTCCACATTAGCTTAAAATAGTTCTGAATTAATTTGCTAGACACAAAAGTATGAAGAGCCTGTATATTTTCAAGACAGACTGTCAAAGATAAAACATATAAGCTGAATTTTATATATATATACACTGTACAAGAATTACTATGGCAATAGTATAAAATTCTTAAAGATAGCAATCTGTGACTATAGAGCAGCACGACTTGACTTTTTTTTCATAAAAAAGATTTTACTATATACGTTACGAATATCCCACAAAACCAAGTATCATACAAAGTTCAATTCAGCATTTTGAAAAATCATTACCTTTACCTAGAGTTCTTGATATGACTGTGTAAACATTACAGAAACCAGACTCATAACTTAAAAAGACACAGGAAAGATCTTCATAAATACAGTTCAAACAGTTGTATGTATTATTACTGGTCAGCACAGAGTAGAAAGCATTGGCCCAATGTTGCCTACATTATTATGTCTGTCAAAATCACCCAGCTATTGTTTTTTATTCACTGTATGAACTTTTTATGACCCCCTACACCCTTTTATTCCATACTGCAACTCATCCTGTATTTGTGTCTGTGAAAAGAAATATTAATTTGCATTAATTTTAGACTTACTTAAGTCGCCTTTCCATTGACATTGCACAAATATTCCTCCACCTTCTGTCCAGATTGCGTGTAGCCTGCTGTATAGAGTCACACTCTGCTTCTGTGGCACAAGCATCACAGTCATGAAGGAGCACTTCACTTAGATTGAGAACAGATGCCACTCCGGTGCTGTGTTTCTCTATGTCCTTCTGAAGTTCCTGCAGGTGGAGAATTAATTCTTAAAAGAAATTGCAAAACATGTAAAAATACAAATGCATTTCTCTTCTACTTATTAAAAAAAAAATTAATAAGCTTGCAAACAGGAGAAAAACATCCAATGAATACCTATTAAGACACTGCATCTATGCAAGTGATGTTGCGATGTTATCAACGAGGCCAGGAGAACCTGGCAGCATGCATAGCTCTCCCAGGGACTATGAACACCAAACCATTGCCTGGGACAAACAGCCAGAGCTCTGCATGCTCAGCTGAGCATCTTTCACACACATTTAATCACCATCATCAATAAATGGTGGAATTATTCCCAGCCCTTTCCCATTACCACGGAGAACATAAAGCAGAAGTTAGTAAGAGAAGTGTGACAAGAAAATACATTTTTATCTACTGGAAGGGTTTAGCGGAGGTATCCTTTGTAAACTAGCCTCAAAGTGACATGTTTGACTTGTAAATTGGCAGCAGCACGTGCTGAACAGTGCACCCCTACTAGGAAATATTTCTTCCTCAAACATTCCAATTCTATGGCATTTTCATTGGAAATGGAAAAGGAAAATTCAGGACAGCTTCAGAAAATGCACTTACACTGTCTTAGCACTTATGTATGATCAGTATTAGTCTTTCTGTCAGTTTCTTGGTTGCAATTGCTTGTTCCACACTGATGACAATCTTTCCTCTTGAAGCAGTGTTTCAGCTTCAGTTTTGAACTACAGGTTCAAGTTAAGATAAGCCACAGAAATAATCAGCTATTGCTGTTGGTGGAGTGCGAGGAAAAGAAACCCTGCTTGACTTCTGCCTACATTTGCAGTAAATCATCAGAATATTAGAAAAATCAGGATGGACAATAACAAAGCCAAGACAACATAATTCCAATAGTAACAAAGAAGCACTAATGTGACTACACCAGAAAGTGATATATTGCATCTGGAATACTATGTTCACTTCTGATTCAGGTGAAGAAAAGAACTATTAGGGCAGTTAGAGATGTGGAAGTTTATTTTGGAGAACAAGAACTTGGCAGCTTGAGGATGAGTAGAGATAAACTGCTTTTTATAATTTTGCTAGTGAAGTCAACTATAACATGCAAAGGGAAATATAGTGTCAATATATTGTGTCTACTACATCCATTTAAGATCTAACTAGAGAACTTCTCTTACAACGATTAATATGATGTTCTGGAAATACCTTCCAGCAGGAAATGGGATATAAACATAGAATCTAAAAACCTCAGCAAGTTTGAAATCGAGCAAGGTCAACTTGTATCCACCATCTGATTTGGTTGTTTGTAATAACTGAGGTCGCATTCAATGAAGTAATTTACTTCCCCCTTCTTATGCATGAAACAGAAGGCTATTTTGCGAACATCTATATGAGACCATCAAGTGGAAAATCACAATGTTTTCTTCCTCAGCACTGGCCCTTTCGCTTTCACTTGCCTTGAAAAATATTCCTTCATCATGATGTCCAAATGCTTATTCTTCTTTCTACCCATGCTGAAGTAGGGCAGATATATAAGGGTAGATACTATAAACAGATGCAATACTGTGTGAAACACACACTCCAGACAGCTATGAGACTTGAGGTTAAGCAAGTTCAGGTAACACAATCTCCTCTCTGCTGTTCTGGAGCAGAGCAGTAATCAGAACTGCTGGTTGGTGATCCTGAGGATTCCTAAGGTTTAAACTTCTTTATTCACCTACAGAACCTTTCTACAAGCAATATCTACAAGGTGGTTTATTTTTTTTTCTTCATAGCCTTCTATTTCTTTCCCAGATTTTAAAATTTTCTGTTAGAGAACATTTAGCCATTGAGTCAGTTCACAAAGGAACATCACTTTTATGCACTGCTGTCACCAACATACAGGGGTATTTTCCTTTATTAACCCAAAAGGAAACACTCTTTTCTACCCATTTCAAGTGGTAGCAGACTGAGAAGTAAACAAACAAGTAAACCTTGAAATGCAGTTTGTGACCTTAGAGAAATACTGCAGTGAAGTTACCCTACTTCCCCCAGAATATCTAGCTTTAATTGTATCTTTCATTTCACTACAGAGACCAGCAATCTGCAAAGCTGATTCTTGGCTGAAGTAGATGCTGAGAAGTAGGTAATGGAGATACAGAATGGAACTTGGTCGTCCTCTTTCACAGCATAATATTTTAACATAATCTTGCATAGGAACAACTGGTAGCAGTACTAAGCAGGACATCAATGGAAGATCAAACATGGAAAAAAACCGTAAGATCACTAAAGACAGACAAAAGAGGGACAAAATAATTGAGAAGATGGCCAATATACTGGCCTTCTGACGTGGTGGATAGTGATGGAGCTTCCAACTAATAAAAACTACTGGTTGCCATATATTGAAGGTGGATGGAGTTTCTTAATTATTAGAATAATAATGGCTTGCAGTGTTATCAAATCAAATTATCATCACGTTTCCAAACACGGAATCCTCCCAGGATAAGATTCACCTCTATTCCTCCTCTTTGGAGTTCAAATTAAACTGCTCCCACTTCTATGGAGTATTACTGCACACTGTCACTGTGTGTGGATCACCAAAAGGCAGCAGCAGAAGGCAGAGATTCACCGGTCCCTGTGCTCAGAGTAAGTCCTGTAAGAAGTGGGTTTAACAAACTGTGGAATGCCAGCATAGGGATGCTACTAAAAAATCTCAAGTTGATAAAAAATCTACCTTGTTCATAGTAATGTTTAGCCCTACCCAGCACTTCACTCTCTCAAAACTACCACTCATTAGTGAGGCTTTTGTGTTATAAATTATTATCCCCTTGTAAATTAGATATATATAATATTAATAAGCAATTCTACACAGCCATGTACCAAACCAGTTTGGGTGCTGGTGAGAACTCTGAGGGGGTTCTTGGGTTTTGGTCTCACACTTAGCTTAAAAAGAACTAAATGTCAGCTTGTACACTTCATAAATTAATTATCCCCACAATATTCTGGCACTCCTCTTCCCACACATTTCTTTCTCCTCTGCAGAAAGAACTCAGGAGAGCATCTAACCAATCTGCACTGATGCACCAGGATGGTATCTTTGCCAATAGCCGACAGGAACACAACAGAACAACAGTCCTCCCCAGCAATGTGCTTCTAGGTAAAAACGCACTGAGGAGAGAAGTGGAACAGGAAAGAGAAAGTACAGTAAATCTTCTTAGGAGTAACACTAGTTTTAATGCCAAAACCTGGCTGCCTTAACATCTTCTGCCCATGTTGACTATTTTGTTCTAGCATTGCATAAAGGCTTTTGTGTGCTATAAACCAATCAATTTTAACTTCACATGTATAGCTCATGCATCTTTGCGTGCAAAGTGAATCTCAAACAAGCTGCAAAATAAAACTGAGTTAGAAAGGTTGCTAAAAATAGTCATTTTCAAGCATGTGCAAAATTTGCAAGGCCTAATAGGTGTCAGTTTTGCCTCTGGGAACAGACAATTCAAACAAACAAAAACTGCAAACCCCAAAGGAAAAACAATTGCAATAAATCGTTCAGGTTATATCTCTGGGTGCCTTACCTTTCTCGGAAAGGTCAATCAGCTCCTGGTGGATTCGATGTCAAAGCCAGCAGAAGGCTCTATAAGTGACACAGTAAGTACCACTTGCCTTGATATTAAAACACTTTGCCTCATGCTCTATCGGCATTGAGCTGGGTATGGGCAGCTCAAGGACACTCTACTTTGGTTCTCCCTATGTCATCGCGCACCTTATAAGTGTGTTGTATTTTACCTGCTGTTCATTTAGCTTCCTTTGTATCTCTTCAGAGTCACAAGTTTCATAGACGATAGGTTTGGATAGCTCTGATTCAATGTGGGCAAGCCATGACCTCAGGCTATTCATATTTTTATCCAGCTGCTGTACTGCAACCAGGGTCTCCTTCAACTTCTTTATCCTGAAAAGTAAAAGAAACAGCAGCATAAGTACACCCTGAAGGAGAAATTCCACATCAAGCGTTTCTAGTTTTCAGAGAAACTTAACTTAGATGGCAAGTTCTGTTCTGAAGTCTTCCTTTAATATGTAACAAAAGTACGTTATATGTACAAACAGTCCTGCAAGCATAGGTTCTGGTTAAGAAAAATTAAGAGCTTACTAATACCAGAAAACATTTTCAAAACTTCTGTACCTTTACCAGTTGAGTTAAATGTTTGTTAAGAAAGGAAAATTTTTTTAATGAACTCACACCAAACCCCCAAAATAATCTAAGTAATTTAATTGTTTATTTAACCAACAGATGACAAAAGTTCTTCTTAAACTACAAGTATCTTATCCATTTAACCAGTACTAGCGGTAGAGTGCACTCAGTGAAAAGGCCTTTTTCACTCCAGTGATTTCTAAGCATTGAACTACATATCATAGAATATTTTGGGTTGGAAGGGACCTTTAAAGGTCATCTAGTAAAACTTTGCAGTGAGCAGGGACATCTTCAACTAGATCAGGTTGCTCAGAGCCCTGTGCGACTTGACCTTGAATTGGGGCATCTACCACATCTGTGGACAAACTGTTCAAGCGAGAAGACTTGGTCTTTGAATAAATAAGTTTTAGAGAGAGAAATCCAGCTAAGTACTTAGTGAGAAATCCTGAATCTCAAGGGATGTTTTAAGTTGTTCTTGGTCTTAATGGACTTCTTCAGATTTAATTGAAAATTGGAATGTAACTACATGGTGACTTCTAAGTAGTATTTTTCTTGACAGCCTGACCCAGCAACTGGAATGGCCAGGAAAAATTAAATAGTGGGGGTTTTCTATTCAAGCGAACATTAAGCTTAGAGAGTGAGGAAACATTTACTAGACCTTCATACTATCTCAACATTTTTTCCTTCAGACTGTTTCAACTGCAAAAATGTCTGTCAGTAATTCCTTTATTCCTATCTCCACATAATATAAGATACATTAGTGGAAACAAATTGCTTCTAAGCCTTTTTCTTTTTCTTCTCTATTCATGTAGTATCACAAACAATTTTGAGTAAGATTCCATTTTATGCTTCTACTGCTCTTCCACATAAGTGTTTCAATATCAGAAAGCTTTAAGAGATGAGTGCAGCTAGGAAGAGATTGACTAAATCAGGTTGAAAAACACAGGACTTCTAGATTTGTCAAACAAACAAAATGTCACCTAACTATCCCATAATTCAAACAGAGCAATTCACATTTTTTCTGTAAAACTAACCAGCAAAATTATCAAGTGTTTCCATATTTATATCCACAGTTGCAGTTGACCATTAAGAGTCTAACAGGGGTGTCATTTTCTGACTAAGGAGAAATGCAAAGATCTTAGCATCAACTTAAAAAACTTAAAAGTTAAATTTTTTCAACGTTTTTGTCTCTTTCTAGCCCTCTCTTTAGATCACAGATAGTAAAACCAAACATGCTTAAGACCAGTTCCAATGCATCTTCCTTCCCAGAGTCTCATGACCAACAGCTAAAGGGTTGTAATCTGAAAAAAAATCTTGGTAATTGGAAAAAATCTGGGCAATCTGAAAATCTGGCTAGGAGGGGACTGAAGTCAACACAGTCATGCTGAAACACTACCCCAGTCCCCGTCAAGAGGTTATCACAAAACACAGCTATGTGTTTAGCCTTGGAGAGATACTAGGAAAACAACTGATGTCTGGGGACACCATCTCCTCGTCACCTATGGTTGTACATACAGTGCTTTGTTGGTTTGGATCAATTAAAACTTGGTCATCGGGGGAGCAAGGAGGCTGATTACCACTCTTCTTGAACTCACTATAGCTTTTCAGTCTCTGACGTTAATTAAAATGAGTGAAATCCTGTCAATTTTCTGCTTAAATTTTTTAAAGCTGGATGCTGCTGATCCTTTGAGGGCATGCTGGAGAGGAAAAGGGAACAATGAGTCACCTCAACCCTGTGTAGAAACAATGTCACTCTATCATCTGCAAGCCCAAGGTGTGGACCAGGTTTTTCTTGTTTGCAGTTGCGTTGTATACTAACTTCTGTGTCAGATTTTATAATGTATTTTGTCTGCAACACCTGATAAAGGGCCAGTCATTTACAAAGTGCCCTCTTTGCCTCAGGCAGACTGCACAGGAATACATCTCTGCCAGAGCAAAAAAACAACCCCAGCCCAAATAGAGATATTTTCAGTCACATGACCTAAGTTACTCAAGAGAGAAAACAGACAAAAAGCATGACATACTAAAAGAACAATACAACCAAAACCAAAACCTACTGCTAAACCTGCCCTCCTGCCAAACTGTTGCAATTCCATACACCTAAATTCCAAAAGATTAAAAAAACAAAAACAAAAAAACAAGCAACCCCTCCCCTTCCCCCCCAACCCTCCCCCCTCCGAAAAAAAAAAAAAGGAAAAAGGGTGACTCCATTTCTGCCCGCTGCTACATTTACAGTTAATCCTGTTCTTTTTTTGTATGGAGTGTAACATAACGGGTTCCTTGCCCATGGTACAAATAGAAGCAAATAAACAAGTGCTTTTTGGAGAATGCTGGGCTGGGTTTTGCCTGAAGTGCAATACAATGTTGTGCCTCTAGTTGCTCTGAAAATGTATCTGTGAACAAATCTCTGAGTTTTTCTTCTTAATTTTAGCAGGCAGATGCCCATGCTCTTCATCACCTTAAATACCATGCCTGATTACAAACAATTCTATAATGTATTTGCCACAAATATAACAGCTCAAAATCCTGTATTACCATGCAATGGCAGGACCTGAGATCTAATGAAACTAAAAGCTCTGCTTAGAGACTTGAAAGGTTTATAATTTGGCTCATTCAAGTACATGGTATCAGTAGCCAACTGTAATTTTGACCTTTTGAGATTTTATTTACAAGATTATGTTTAAACATCTAATTAATCCAATAATTATAATAATCCAATAGTCACGCTTTTGTTGCACCACTATGCATGTTGCTGCAAGAGACCTGAGACAACTCTTCTCCTTGATAATAAATATTCTGCGTTGAAATAAAAGGGTTGGAGCCATGACATGGTTATTTTAAAGGTTGTTTTTTATGTAACACACACACATCAGTCTTGTCACATTTTACTAATACTTAAGACTCTCAGAAGAAAATACTGCAGAATTCAATTATTTGGCTTTACGGTTTTCTGACAAAAATTCATCTGAAAATTTGAATGAGGTTACGTTTCTGTGTTCCAATTACTGTACTTCTGTTTCCCCAAGCAAGTAATAACTTTAAAATGTCTATTTTACAATTAGAAAAGGCAGTGGGAGAACAACTTCGAGCTGAAATTAAGAACAAATAGCTTAAATCAACTAGTTCTAAATAAGACAGCCTTAGATACTACTTAAACCTAAACAGGAACAATCCTGTAAATACATAACAATGCATCATATAGAACTCATAGCTACTGCATTAGTCATTTAGACAGCTGGTTACTAATATTAAACTTTAAAAGCAACACAAAAAAAGCCAGTAAGAGCATGTTAGCTAAGTCTGCACAAAGCCAGGAGAAAGCAGAATTATTCTTTTTTTAAATGTCTATTTGGAACTGGAGACAAAGTTTCAAGAAACACTCTATGAAACAGTGAAAAACAGTACACTAAGAAAAAAAGTTTTTACAAATATCAGTTTAAAAATGTATTTTTATGACTAAAAAGAATTATTGTCCAAAGTGCAGTACTACTATGTAGCAGCACACTAGTAATATGAGTTATATTTGCTCTTCAGATCACAGTTTCCCTTTCAAGGAGTAAATTGCTAGAAGTGTAAAAAACAACCACAAAACTTCTAGAAAGGATAATGTGAAGAGGGAAAAAGAGAATCTGAATCAAAAATCCAGGAGATGCAGGCTGAGTTCAAGTATTACATGCAGTTACAAAACAATCATTAATGTTTAAAGGAGAGAGAAGCTTTGATAAGTTGTTTGAAATACTTTCTTTACAGCCCGTATCCTTCTCTGCCTTTTGTTATAGCCATGCTCCTTTGATGACACAGTGAGCAAATACAAAATCTGCTTTCTCTTGTGTGTGCATGCTCTTGTATTTAAAAATACCAGTAAAACCAGGCTACAGTTTCCTTCATACAGCTAAGACATTTTACTAGTTCTAAGTCTGCATCAGTAACAAAGAATTATTCTGGGATCCAAAAGTACCAGCTACAAAACAAAGTATGCTGGTATCACTGTCACCTGTTTCTAAACTGAACAGAAACCAGTAATTTCCAGCTAAGGAGTGATTTTTACATATCAATATTTCAATTAGTTTCCCAGCAAGACAAGACTTTAAGAAAGAACCGTATCAATCAAAAGGAAATAAAAATAGCTGCCTGCCTCGTAGTATCACAATTACAGTCTGGGAGATCTGAATCCACACTGTTGTCCTCTGCCATCTTCACAGCATGTAAGTCATCTGCCACCACCATGAAATTTTCCAGCATTAAAAAGAAGAACTTCCACTCCAAAAGCCTGTAAACACTCTACTTTGGGCGGGGGGAAGAAAGGGACCACAGTTCTCTTTGCTGGTGAGTACTGTACAGAAAATGTTGCACACCAAACAAATGCTAGCAGCCGTTGCTTGATAACATGAGACTGAATGGTGACAAGTGGTCATGTTTCTAAATAAAACTTGCATTCATCAACATGTGCCATACTTGACCTCCAGGAATGTGGACCGTAAGTGCTAGGGGAAGGGATGAAAATGCATACAACAAAACCTTCTTTGCAAAGCCTGATCAGTTGCAGCAGTAGCACTGCTTCCTGGCTGTAAACATCTGTAACATTTTTTGCACTGGAGTGGCACATCAGAAAAATTCATCTGAAAGGATGAACATGTTCTAGAAGGACAGAAACAGAAGTCTCTGATACAGAAACAGAAGTCTCTGATACAGCTACCTTTCTGTATCTCTCTCTTCTGCAGTTACAGACCTCAGAATAGAGAGGCAATTTAAAAGAGTGGGTAAGGAAACAGAATGAGAAAAAAATGGGAGAGGCTTAATACAAATGAACGAAGAAGTTTCACTGCAGAGCGTAAAATCAACAGGTAAATATTCAGACTGGATGCATATTACCATCCTGCATTACTAAAGCATTTTCACAGAGAACTTCCTATTCATTCACAGCTGTAGGAAACAAACCACTAAGAAAAATGCTCTCAGCAAGGAACGACTGTAGCTTTGCAGAAAAGCACACAGACTCTAATAATTTATTAATGCTGTCAGGGATCCAGAATATGAAAAGATGCATTTTATTCTCAACACCAGAACAATTAAACTGCATTTACTGCTGAGTGCAGCCAGAATCATGTTATATGATACATTCCAAACTCCAAATATTGTAGCAGGAACACACGTATAACAACATATTCTAAAGAGTCTCTGAAGCCTTCTAAAAATTGTCTTGGGGGATGCAAACCATTTTGTCCAGTGGGAATTAGACATCGTATCTGTACTTTGTACATATATTAATCAAAAACTTGGGCTTTTAGCCTAAGTTATGGCTGAACTAGCAAAATTTCCACAACGTAGCATAAAACCTCTCCACCATTTACTTCCCAACTTCAGCAAAGCAATGTTCAAACTTTGCAGGTTTTTTTTTTTTTTCACTTCAGTAAGCACTGGAATGGAAAGGGTTATATGTTTAACTGCATACAGTAGTGCTAAGCATGCTAGTTGAGACGGCTATGTTGAAATGATCTGGAAATGAAAGTAAATAAATATTTTGCATAAAGTAGTTTAGAACTAGGACTTGACACCCTGATTCATGATAACAGAAACGAGAAAATTTGGGTGTATAATATTGCAGTTTATATCTCTACACCTCAAGAATTATACAAAATCCATAATCCTTACCTGTCCCTAGGGAGAACACTAACATCTAATGCTGGATAGACAACACAAATCTTTTAAAGGTATGTTTTGCAGTTTCTGAAGGCAGTCACTTTTTACTGGAAACTTCCTGAATGCATTATTTGAACATTTGCCCGAGTAGGTGTTTCAAAAGACAAACACAAAGATATGGCAAGTATACTTTATGTTCAACAACTGGTGATGTATCACTTCCTCTAAAACCAGCAGGCTCCATGACTGTAACACACCACTTCCTGACTTAATTGTACCGTAAGAAATATACAGAGTTCATTACTTTAAAATGAACCTCTATAAAAGGAGATGGAGCCACCAGAATGCTTCTGCTTACACAAAATTTACTGCTCCCATGCTTACAGATTTCAGAACAGGAATGCAATAAAAGTGTATGAAAAAAGAATGGATGAAAATAGATGTTGAAACTAAAAAACCCCTTTTGCTGCTGACAGGACTAAATTACTACTAATTCATATGACCTTACATCACAGAAATATAAAGTATTTGTACATTTTATGAAGTGCAAAATTGTGACAAAATTATTGTCAGTAATGGGAGGGCGGCTGTAGCAAAGCTCATCAGAAAGTACTGAAACAAATAAAGCAGTTTCTTCACGTATCATGCAACAATCATGTATTTCTTTAAGTTATGAAAATTGCTCTTACATTTTTGACCTTGAGTAAAAAGAAGCAAACCCCAATGTGCACGTATCTACCTGAAGTTACTCTACTCATCAGTGAAAAAGTATCAGGCAGAAAACCTAAGACTTAGTTCAGGAACTGCTTTTCTCCAAATCCAAAAGTACAAATAAACTGTTTTGATTCCTCTGCCAAGAATTTTCTAGAAAAGCTACACTTACAACTAGTTTTAAGCACTAATCTGAAGTAAGATGGCACTGGAGCAAGGCTAACTAACTCTTGACTGCAACTGATCCTTTTGTTTCTGCAGATAATATTTTGAAATTTACTCTTCTTGAAGAAATTATGTCAGGTACAGTACAGTAAAACAGGAAGGTGAATTTCACAGAAATGCTTTGATTGTTAAGAATAAACTAATTTCACAGTTAATGATGAAAAGGCAGACAATAAAAAGATTCTAGAATCATAACATCTAGCACATGAATCTGTCCCATATAGCACTTAGAAACAAAGTTTACCTGGCTGCAATAAGATCTAGAAGATGTTGCCACCTGTCATTGATCTTGCTAAGTTTGTACTCAATCTCTGATGCCTTACTCTCATGGCTAGCTTTAGCAAGTCGCTCTCCCATTTCCTGGAGCTGGATTTTGCTCTTCTGGGCTACCGCAATTTCCTCTTGATAATCCTGGACATAAAGAGAAATCAGGTATTGGGTATTTATTCTGAATACTCTGCTCTACACTACTAAAGGAACCACACGCATGAATGCTGTTTTTTTTTGTGATTGGTTCAATATAGAGACAAACTCTTCAATATTAGATGTGTAACTGTGAACAACTTTATCACATAAGTGACATATTACAGTCTTGACAAGTGCTCTGTGCAGTGGGTGGGGAACTGGTTGACCGGCTGTACCAGAGGGTGGTGGTGAATAGCTCCTGTTCCAGCTGGCAAACTGTCACTAGTGGGGTCCCCCAGGGATCCGTATTGGGCCGTGCGAAGAAAGGCTGAGAGAACTGGATTTGTTGAGTCTAGAGAAAAGAAGGCTCAGGGGGGACCTTATCACCAGGTTCCAGAATTTAAAGAGTAGCTACAAAGAAGATGGAGACTCCCTTTTTACAAGGAGTCACATGGAAAAGAAGAGGGGTAATGGGCACAAGTTACTCCTGGGAAGATTCCAACTGGACACAAGAGGAAAATTTTTCACAAGGAGAAAAATCAGTCATTGGCATAATCTCCCCAGGGAAGTGCTGGATTCCCCAACACTGGAAAATTTTAAGATTCAGCTGGACAAGGTGCTGGACCATCTAGTCTAGGTCATGCTCTGCTTAGAAAGGTTGGACCAGATGATCCTTGAGATCGCTTCCAACCTGGTATTCTGTGATTCTATAATTCTATGATCAGAAAAATGAAAAAAAAAAACAAACCAACCCAAAACAAAACATATATGCATATCTGCTATAGTTAAACTCATTACATGCAATTCTGATAGGACATTTAGTAAAGTATTCAGATGCCTCTGACTTTGCATTCACTTCATTTTCTGTGTCCTGGGAGGTCCTACCTCAAGAAAGGTAGGAAAGGCTGCATAGCAAGAGAACAGAAACGCAGTCTTACAGGAACTTATAAACAGCACAAACCAAAACATCCATTTGAGCTAATTCTCTTTTCAACACAAACCAAGTAAGCAGTTAAAGAACAGCATGTAAGTGTATATGAGCTGCACTATACCTTTTTAAGTTTTTCAATCATTTCTTCTATGAGGATGTCACTATTTTGAGAAACCTTACTTTCCATTTGTGTCAGCCATTCACAGAGTTCCTTATTCTTCTCACTGAAGACAGCCCACTCATTCAGTCTCTCAGTAACTTGTTGTCGACGTAAGGATACCTTAAGACATTTACAGAAAGTAAATAGAAACAAAATAGTAAACGCATTTAAGACGTGCTTGAAACACTCTGTGCCTCAGTGTGAAATCCTCTGGCCCTGTAAAAGTGTTGCAGGCACATTCTTGCCATTAAAACAAACTGGAGATGACCTTAAGATCCTTTCCAACCTTCGTCATTCTATGATTCTTTGAAATTGCTATAGCAGTGGTACCATCTCAGACTATGAATAGTAACAGACAGACAAAGATAGACACTGAAATAAAAATAGCAGCAGAGCATGAGCAACAAAGTAATCTCTCCAGTTTCAGACACTTGTACAACTACTTACTTCCTCCCCATTCTAATCTGTGTTGTTTCTGACTTTATATCACCATTTCAGCTGAGATGAAGACTGCATCTTCCCTTTCATCAGCAAAAGTGATGTGTTCTTTAACTACCGTGTTAGGTTTAACAGGGGCATGCATATATATAATCTCACATTTCCTTTTTGCGGTTCTAAACTTCATGGCAGCTTTCCGGAAATAAGCAATGGTTGAACAAGTGTTGCACTACGTTACATCCTGAAACACTCAGTATGCACAAAACTAAGACAAAAGTTTTTTACTTGTCTACCTCCTTTACCATAAACATACAAGCAGTAACTGCACTGTAGTTTCAGATGTATCTACATTGGCTCATTCAAATGCAACTCACTTGTAACAAGTTCTGTGCTGTTAACTGTGAAGCACCCCTGCTGTGGGGGTGTTTTTGAAGCCTTCACAGGTACCTTACATGAGATAACTATTTCAAAGTTAGCTCTGGTATATCTGGACTGCAATCTCTACTTAACCACAGAAATAACATGAGGATAATCTGAAAAGCTGTGTGAGAGATACTCCACTACCTGGATTTCTAAGTGCAAAATGGAGGAGAGAAACAAACTAATAGCATGCTGCACCTGAAAATTCAAACAATACTCTTCGACTCATTTTGCAGATAAGCAAGTCACCCTCAGACTAACAGAAATGCATACAGGGAGGGGACATCCTTTCTGACCACAGCTCCTTCACCAAAGCACAGTAAACTGTATTACTGTGTTTTCCCCAGCCTGCCATGTCACAGTGCAGCACCACACAGTGTGACTTTGTTGTTTTTTCAAGGCTGCATAAATATGACCTCAGGGCCACGACAAAGTTCAAGAAGTCTAAGAATGATAGCAATAATTAAAGGAAGCATTTCAACACTTGTTTTCCCTGATTCAGCAAGAGTTGTTTTGAACCTACATGTGCTTACATGCATCTCTTTTAAAAGCTGACACGTGCATTTGATTTTTCTCCCAACACTTTTGTAGCATGCATACTCATATCAGTGCTCAGTAACAGTACTTGCCTGGTGGCACAGCTCCTCCCACTGTCTGTGCAGAAGCTCTATGCGTTCACTGAGGACTGAGATATCATCTGCACTGATATATATAGACAGGGACTCCTTCAGCAAAGAGAGGTGTGCAAGGTCATCTGTCCATCCTTCAACAGCATTCTCTAACTCCTTAAAAGAAGTTCAGAAGGAAAAAGGACCAGTTTGCTAACAAATAAAAATTGGAATGTATTGAAGCATGAAGACAAGCATTTCTATGCCACTTAATTAAAGCTCAGAAGCAGACCCACAATTTCAAGTAGACTGTTTCAGCTCCATTTAAAAGAAAAAGCAAACATCAACTCCATATGTAACAATATTTTCAGTTATTAGAGAGGTAAATCCCCAATAGGGAATATGTCAGTCTTGTACCAAGTAGTCACAAACTAATACAGTACTCAAATCTCTCTAAAGTTCAAAGGTATTTGAGAATTCCAAGTATTGGCTTGGACTTCTCTGTACTGAAAATATTTTCAAGTTCTAAACTGCAAAGAATATAGCATAGAAGTATTACCTAAGACCTCCCCAGTAATCTCTCCTCAAATAAAAAGCAATAAACCAACAGTTTAGATACCATGAGTTTAAATTTTTAGTTAGAATTTCTATAATGAAAACATGCCAGTATTTAGTGCTTCTACACTGCTTTTTAGACCCTATTCTGATTTCAGTTTGAGCAGATCTATATTTAACCTGAAGGATTCGCATTATGCTGAGCAAATATTACATGGATAGTGTCTATTACAGGGATGGCTAACTGGTTTGCACAATCAGTAATGTGAAGTCTATTAGCAATGGAAGAGGTTACTGCACAAAGGTAGGCAAAGATAAGACAACAGTCAATAGAGAACAAGTACTTACCTTGCAACGAATCTGCTCTGCATGCAGCTCATCATGGTGTTCTGGTAAAGGCTGAGAAAGCTTTTTTTTGAATGATCTTAGCTTCTCCAGGGAGTCTGCTATGCCCTTTTCAGATTTTTCCCAGTCCTGAAGGCAGAATGTTTGTTAGATTTCATTCAGATCTGGATTACACTTGTATCAGTTGATTTGCCTAACTAACCACTCAATAGTGAAAATTTTTTCATAAGAACAACATGCCCTGAAATCCCCCTCTAAATAATACTCAGTCTCAGAGCTTGAGTCATGTGTACAACTGTCAATTTTTTTTGTGTGTAGGTCTCTGCTAGGAGAAATGCACAAGCCAATACCTCTTGTTATTACAATGTTGTCTAGATCCAACTCCATTCTTTCTGAAAAGCCTCTCCCTGCCAAAATTATTTTCCACTTCCTTTCTTGAATGCCTGTATTAAACATGCCACTGTTCTTTGACAAAAGATCCATTCAGGTGCATTAACCTTCAGAAAAGAAAAATGGTTTGGGATACTGCAAATTCAGGTCAGATTTAAGTATCTGCAGTACCTCCTCTAAATCATGATTCCAGCAGTTGCACCCAGCTTTGGTGTTTGTACGCTTTCCAAAATTTTTAATGTGTCCAATGCAATCAAACCATACCAATCATTTGACAAGTTTTATGTGCCTCACCTGGATGTTAAAGACTATTAAAAAGGTACTCACAGACAGAAAGATCTCTCATAAACCCGTCAACCCATAAAGAATGCCAGATATGGGATACCAGAAAATATGAAACTTGTTTGTCCTGGTCTTCTGTTTCAAGATATTCTTCTCCTACCACTGCCTTTCTATTTCTCTGCTTCCATTTTTTCCAAATCTGTGTCAGTATTTCACTATCATCTTCACGACAGAGAACTACAAATCACAGGTCTTGCAAAAAAATCCCTCTCTTTAGTATCTTCTTTCTTCTCTCCTTTGTAAGTAATATGACCTTATGTGACAGTAGTCTGTGATGTTCTTAATGCAACAAATACTCTTCTAGAATACACACTTGTGCTTCCAACTTGGTCAGAAGACCACTAAACCATCATGTATTTACAACCAAGGCAGCATAATGTAATTAAGACTTTGAGATGATTTATGCAATTTGTGTGGTAATTTCCCTACTTTCTCATCTTCAATCATAAATTTTCATATTTTCATTTAGACAAAATACCACAGAAACTTCAGTCTCTCTAGGTAACAGCTTTCATGGCTAAAATATCCTGACATAATTCCACCACTAGCAGCCAAGGTATGACAAACAAAGCTTGAAAGAGGAAGAAAAATTCACTTATCTGAACTTTTACAAAATACTATTTCATATTCTTGCACTGCTTTGATTCTTGCTATTTACAAACCTAAAGTGTCTGTCATTCTATAATTCTATAGACTGTTGAAACTACTCTAAAGGCATTTGCCCTATTCTATTAATCCATGCAAGTCCAATTTTCATTATCCTCTCTAGAATGAGTAAAAGGGAAAACCAAACAGACCAAATTTAAATTCCAGCTTATCATCCTTAGTACTTAAAGTGAGGTTAGCATGCAGTCTGGACAATGCTTACCTCAAAATAAAGTTCAGGTCTCCCTCCTCCAAGATCCCAGAAGTTTGTCTAAACTAGTAAATACTCAAGGCACTGGAAGGAAACACAGACTACTGCATTGCTAGATAGATCCTGCTATTGACATGCAGAAGGAATAAGGCAGGTCTAATTTTTAACACAGTACTGTGGTGGGTTGACCCTCACTGGATGTCAAGTGTCCACCAAAGCCACTCTATCACTCCCCTCCTCAGCTAAACAGGGGAGAGATAATACCACAAAAGGCTCATGGGTCGAGATAAGGGAGAGATCACTCACCAATGACTGTAATGGGCAAAACAGACCTAACTTGGGGAAATTAATTTAATTTATTACCATTCAAATTAGAGTAGGATAATGAGAAGTAAAACCAAATCTTAACACGCCTTCCCCCACTCCTCTCTCCTTCCTGGGCTTAACTCTACTCCTGATTTTGTCTATCTCCTCTGCCCACAGTGGCACAGAGTGTCAGGGAATGGAGGTTGCGGTCAGTTCATCACATGCTGTTTCTGACGATCATTCCTCCTCAGGGGAAGGACTTCTCACACTCTTCCCCTGCTCTGGCATGAGGTCCCTCTCATGAGAGACAGTCCTCCCTCACCTACTCCAATGTGAGTTCTTCTCACAGGCTGCAGTTCTATACAAACTGTTCCTGTGTGAGTCCCTTCCATGGGTGCAGTCCCTCAGGCACAAGCTGCTCCGGCATGGGTCCTCCGCAGGGTCACAAGTGCCGCCTGGAGCCTCCTCCAGCGTGGGCTTCCCATGGGGTCATGGCTTTCTTTGGCATCCCCCTGCTCTGGTGTGGGGTCCTCTACAGGCTGCAGGTGGAGATCTGCTCCATGGGCTGCAGGGGCACAGCCTGCCTCACCATGGTTTGCACCACAGGCTGCAGAGGAATCTCTGCTCCAGCACCTGGAGCACCTCCTCTCCTTCTGCACTGACCTTGGTGTCTGCAAAGTATGTTTCAGAGGTGGTGAAAAGAAATTGTGAATTTGTGTAGTGTATGTGCAATTCCTGTATGCGTGCTTATCCCTTGAGAATGCTTTTCTTCATCAGGACTTACAGTGAGAAACCATGAACTTTCTGAAGTACAGAAGAAATCACACACTTACTTTCAGTAGTAAGGCAAGCTGTTTCTTTTGCTGCTCCAGCTGGGTGCTAGCTACTTTCCAGCGCTCCTGAATTTCAGTAAGCTCTGTCTGCAGGGCTGCCTCAGCTTCACTGTCAGCAGAGAGCAGCAGTTGCTTCCCAGCTTCCACAGTGAGGATGTAACTCCCTTGCTGCCTTAGGAGAACTTTCTCTTTAAGCTGAAAATGTTAACAGTTTTCTATCAGCTTTTTATTTTCAATTGCAATTAGCAATTCCGTATAATTCCTTCTCAAGCCATACTTAGATTGTGTACCTTGGCTTAAGCAGGAGCTACTGCTCACATGCTTTACCCTAACTTTTCACAATCATTTAGTGCAGCAGACCTTTAGAAAATTTCTCCAAGATAAAGACATGAAAGACTTCTTTCTCCCCAGTAAAAGAGAAATAGTTCCTCTAGAGACTACTATTCTTATAAGCATTATTATCATATGTACCATCCAGCCAAAAAGCTTGAAGACACAAAGCTGCTAAATAGATTCTGTTAATCTCACATGAACATGGACACTTAAGGTATCCTTTTTGGTTAGGTAGAATATATTTCTCAAACAGGACATCATTGTTTTTTTTTCCAAGACAGGTTTAGTTTGACATGAGCTACAAAGCAAAACCAAATTCAAATAAGCCTCAAGCAAGAGGGTCCAGTAAAGTCTCTGTTGCATGTTCTTTATGAACTCCAACTTCCAGTTCCAAAGAAGAACAAACATCCAACATTACTTTCTGCAAAGCAGATTGTTTTAACCTAATACATTGTAAAGATTTTTTTTAAATGAAGGCTGTAAAAAAGGTGGGGATTTTTTTCTCTTTCTTCACATGGGACATACCTGCACTTCATCCAGTAGTGCTCTGGCTTGCTGCAATGTGATAGGAATGTTGCGTAGCCCAGTCACAGGTTGACAGGATACTTCCACCAGCCACTTGCGCAGCTTCTCTGCCATCTCCCTATAGCGTTGCCACTGGTGAATCTGGCTGTCAATGATCCCCCTCCTCTGCTGTGCCCGGCGAATTACTCCTTGCCATTGATCACTTAAAAGAGTCAGCTTCAGATTAAATTCATCCCTATTATAAATAGATAAAGATACACAGTAATCTTCATACATTGATCTATTTTTTAATGAAATAAACAGAAGGGAAAGA